CACAGTCCCCCACGAAGGAAGGTGAGATACCATGCATTGGCAGTTTCTTTTGGGATTGTTGGCCGGACTCCAACCAAGGGTGGGGTGCTGAGGATGCTGCATATTCTTCCCTGCTCAGACTCTCTGGGCTGCATCTTTTACAGGGATTGTTTAGTCTGAAGAAGAGGAGGCTGAGGCAAGGCTGTTGGTCTCGTATGACTACCTAAAAGGAGGTTGTAGTGGGGTGGCTGTTGGTCTCTTCTGCCAGGTCACTAGCAATAGGACAAGAGGAAATGGGCTTAAGTTGCACCAGGGGAGGTTTAGATTGGATATTAGGAAGAATTTCTTTACTGAAAGAGTGATGAGGCATTGGAACAGGCTGGCCAGGAAGGTGGTAGAGTAACCATCCTTGCAGGTGTTCAAAAAACATATAGACGTGGTATTTTGGGACATGATTTAGTGGTCACATCTGTGTTAGGTTGACAGGTATACTTGATAAGCTCAGAGGTCTTTTCCAACCTTAATGATTCTATGCTGCATATGTCCTTTAAAAGTAACAGGAGATCAAAGAAAAGTTAATAAATTAATATACCTTTGAGACTGGAGATAGACTTCATTGAGACTTAGTTGATCTTCCTGCTTCCTTCAGTTAGTTGAATGCTTAGTTGGCATCATGGCACGTTTCTCCCTTTATCACCTGGTGTTTCAGGTCTGGCAGAGCTGTGTGGCAGAAGGTGCAGGTAAACGACAGTTTACAAAATCCAGTGTGCCTTTCGGTGCTATCTGTGAATACTCCTCCCATAAATTTTTATGATAACTCAGAAAATGCATTTTCTTCACTAGAGAACATCTTGCAAGCCTTCTCTTCAGAGCAAAGTAAAATTTGAAATAAACATTAGGATTATTTAACTTTGCATAGTGCTACTTAACTTCAGTTCAGTACATGCCAAAGACACTTGTTTCAGGATTAAGCTCTGTGAACTTCACCAGTTGGGATTTTAGTGCATACAAACCTCAAGCTCTGTTGAAATGCAAGTTGAGAATTCCTTTGGAGTCCCTTTGTGCTTGTTAGCTTAGTCTTTGGAGTGTGGGTGTGACCCCACAGCTTATTTATTCGACAACTGCAATGAGGCAGAAGCACATGGCTGCTGCCACCAGCCCCTCCTTACAGCTTTCTGCTTCTTTAAAGGGCAGCAGCTGATAAAGGATCTTCTTGATGGAATGACATAGGCAAAGTGGCTGTTTAGTTAAATCTATGAGGTCAATTCCCTTGAAAACATGAAATATGATAAAAGGAGTAGTGAGGGATTTTGTGATTTTGATGCTTCTCTCTCTTTTTTTCTCTATTTATAAACTTCTTAAACTGGGCTTGAAAAAACTTCCTCACAAATGCAAAGGAGCAAAGGTTTTCATATGCTTTTCCTCAGGCTCTGTTTAAGGATTAGAAGTAGTTAAGATGGGTTTTTTGGCTATGTAACTCCAAATTGTTTGTTAAACCATTATTTTTAAACTAGTGACCTCTGCATCAGTGACATTGTGTGTGTGTAGCATTAACAAACAATGAATAAAGACAAATTCTCTCTGTTTTAGGAAGGGAAAGTTGCCAAACTTTAGACAATTTAGACATCTCATACATTTTTTTTGTAGAGATGATTAATAACTTTTCTTCTGCAGAACACGCAACAAGTTCAAAACTTATGCTTATTGAAGTGCTTGATGTGTATTCAAATCTCATGGATTTGTATCAGTGTCAAAAATGGTATTTTTTCCAATGATGAACATAGGAGTTGCACTCCACAAGGCAATGAAAGAATTAAATTACTGCTATGTAACAGAACAAGTAGAAGCAAAGTAAAATCCCTAGTGGATCTTCCAGTGAGTCCTCTTCTTGAATTCAAGCTCTTTGGGTGAAGAATAAGCATGTGCTAGACCAGAGTGTTCTGCCAATGACCAGGCCCAACAAAAATGATACCACCAGCAGAAAGAGAATCCAATACACAGACTGTATTGTAGACAAAAAGGACATTCCCTGAATGACCACCAGGGGTACAAACAGATCAATCAGCTGGTACATAATCAATGCCACCCCCAAAGATCCCACAAAAGATGTGACTCGGCCCACAGCAGGCGGTACAAACAGTGAGCCGAGGTTGCCTGTAGTTGGTATGGGAAGCAGCAAAACCAGCTACTTAAACACATAAGAACAAGGTGCCCACATGGCGACTCTCACCCAATCGACCCGCGTTCGCAAAGGCCTAAACAGACCAGAGCCCAGCTCCAGGGAGAGTCAGGAGGTCTGCCCTGAACCAGGAAGCTCTGTGGAGTGCACTCCACAGACAGACACTCCTGACTCCCTGCCAGCGGTCCCCGCTTTTATCCCCAAGCAGACACCTGACCTTTGTCAACTCACTGCGGGACCCCTGGGGCTCATTTCCCTTCTGGCTCTCCCTGCAGGGCCGGCCGCACCCTGGGGGGAAGCTATAAGGCAAACTCACCTCCTCTGTATGAAGGGCTGTGGGAATCACCCATATGTCAGCCTTAATTCAGGGCTCGGGGTTCAGACCCCAGCATTTCACAGAGAATAAAAGACATGTCAAGCAAAAGTAAGAGCTTCCAAATGAGAGCAGGATGAACACAGTCCTGGTAATCTTAGAGTGTGCTCAAGTAGGGCCTTGGTGATGGTGCCGTGATTGAATGAATGTCCACATTTTTTTGTTGAGTCTCCAAATCCGACTGAGGTGGCAGTGCAAAAAGAATGCTCATGGAAAACCAGTCTTTTGGTAGCTGGAGCCTATCATTACGCTTCTAGAACCATTACCCTCTGTCCTCAAATAAGCTGGGCTCTGTCCCAAAGGAACCAGGATTTAACTATTAGGCAGATGTAAAAAATCCCCTTTAATATTGAAGTGGGGATGCTGAGATAGTGGGGACCTAAGTCTGCCCAACAGTAGATGCTGAAATTAAGAGTTCATTTGTACTGGTGAGGCTAACTGTATCTGGCAGACTCATTCTTTTTACCTTCAGATTCAACCAGGCTACATTTTATCAAGCTTACTCAAGTTGTGTGGTGTTCATGTTTTTCATTGGGCCCATGAAGGGCTGGAGTGCTTCATTGTTTAATGAAAAATCAAATTATGAAATCATCACAAGACCAGGATATGAATAAGTCTTGGATATCTGTTATATCTCAGCCATAATATAGCCCTGTGCTCAAACCTTTTGAGTTACCAGGTCTAATATAAAACAGTAAATATCCTAAGTTAAGTCTCTTGCAGAATTCATAAGGAGCATGCATCTGGGAGCAAAAGAACAGAAAACCCTTCATTCTTGTCTGTCACTTCCTGTTCATAACCTAATGCTTCTTACTCCTTTAAAAAAACAACTAACCAAAAAACACACCACCAGAAAAACACCAGCAAAGAAACAACGGCAACAAATTAACACAATATTAAATGTTTTGAGGTTACCATGAGTACTGCTATCAGGGAGCTGCCAGGGAAAAATTCTGTCATGCCTGTTGTGCAGCCCTTATGCTAATGGCTATGTCTCAATCAATTGTTTAAGAGGAAAATACCTCTGTGCAAGTTGTTTGGTACTGTCTGCAAGCTGCTAATGAAAAGGACTTGTAAATGTCCCAAAAAGGAGAGAGAGCACTAATTTTTTTCTGCTATTTAAAGTGTTCCTGACCCTGAAGCATATTCCACCAAGGCTAATGGAAGCAGAGGAATATAAATGTACAAAAAGAGGATTAGACCCATGTCTGCTCCTATTAGGACATTATTGAGTGGGATTCATTGTAGGCCAGGCTGTTGTCCACATGGAGTACTTGTTTAAACTTGTGAAATCCTGACTGTCTGAAAGACAGACAGAGCACTGGAAAACGCACTGCCAGACCTGGCCCAAACCCACCCAGATAATTACCCTCGGAGCTTTGTATTTGCAGCATGCTCGATGACCACAGGGCTTGTTAAGCAAACCAGCACTCAAATTACGGGAGCGGCAAGTAAAGGTTTACTTAGAACCCTGAGTACTTGTTCAGTTAACTCATTTAAAATCATTTTAGGTTGCCAGTCTTCACCATAGTGAGACTTAATCTACTGAACTGGAAATGTGTAAATGAAATCCTATGATAATGACAGCGGAGTGAAAGGGGTGCCAGATGGACACTGGGGAGTTGATAATGAAACAAAGCCTCATGCCTTCTCTCGAACTGTGCTCTAGCTAGAGGCAGCAAGAAAGCTGATCCTTTTTCCTCATTGCGTGGTTCTGACTTTTCTCCATCAGGCCCAAGTAGTCCATCAAGCCAGTATAGATCTTTGCACGGAGCCCTGTGTGGAGACTCCAGGTAGAAAGAGGGAAGATTTGGGCCTGTATTCCCAGCTCAGCCCAGTGTCCAGTAACAAAGATGTGCCCAAGGCCCAGTGTAGTGCTGGTGTTGTTGACTACATCTCTTCCAAGTTGTGACTGGTGGGGAAGAAGATGGCTTTAGATGGGTAACTATTGTAAGCCCTAGCACATGCTGCTGCAATGCTGAAAACATTAGAAACTGTGCAATCAACCATCCTCTGACCTGTGCATTGTATTTATGTACACAGAGACGTAACGCTTAAATTAATGAACAAATTACTTAAAGTAGGATAGGAGGGTTGTCAAGATGGAACATCATAAATTTTCAAGATGACATGTATAAGTATGACAACAGATGGAATAAAATGTATGGGGGTTAATGGCATCCTTTTTCCCCTTTGATACAAGTTGGAAAGAAGTGAGAATGTGCCATAGGAGACCTTGTGTCTGTAGTAGATTGGCGCTTAATGGATACAACCAAGACATTTATGAGACCATCTCTGATAGTGAACTCTTTTTTTTCAGGTACACTTTTGAAAGAATTACTTGGAAAGGAATTATCACATTTGTTTTATATTACTGCATTTTTTTCCTATAAATAAGCTAATTGAGGCTGGAAAAAAATATATGAACGGCTGCTATATAGTTCTTCTGAAGCTGTTTTGTTTTTGCAGATTTAATTGTAGGTGCATTCGGAGCTGGAAAAGCAGTTGTTTACAGGTACGTGGTAAATACAATGAATTTTTCATTTTACAGCTTTGGTGGGAGATGTGTAAAGGAATTAAATTCACATTCCTGTGTTTCCCTGGTGCGATGTGTAACAGGTGATCTTTACAGATGATAAATTAAGCATCTTGTGAGAAAAAATGGTTTTTTTCCCATGCTCAAAACTTGTAATTTAAAATTAAAATTCCCATGCTTAGTCTTAGGTCAAGAAACTTCTTCTGGAATGTTTGACTCCTCAGTTAAGTTTAAATAAGAAAATTAAAAACCATAACACTGAAAATTAATTTCTTTCCTGGGGGAATAGTGCTTGTAAATTTTCAAGTGTCTCTGATTCTTCAGAGGTCATGTACATTAAAACAAGAGCTATTTATTGAAAATGAAGACTGCTGCTTTTAGACTGTGTTTATAAAAAATGTATGACATCTGTTTAACGAATCAGAATTGTTGCTGACTGCGTTTTCAGTAAATGCGTAGTTTGATTAAAGGTGTAAATTAAAACTACCCAATATATAAACAAAAATCTTTTGCTGTTCTCTTAGGCCACACTGACAGTTCTTTGCATTTAAATATTCACTATCCGTTGCCCAACGATGTAGTCATATTCCTTGATTCCTGTCTGTCTTTTTGTTTTCTGTATTCCCAATGGTACCTGACTGAGCAAAGGTGTGTTCTGCTTCCTAACTGAATGTTTGTCAAAACATAAGCATTTTGTAACACAGGAATGTTAGCTGCTTTGAGCTAACACTGTGGGTGCAGTGAGTAGACTTGATTTTCCTACTGCCCTATGAAATAACAATGCAAATGCTTTGCAGTGCATCACTTTGCAGTGACATGAATGACAGCACAGGCTGTGAAACGTGGGAGAACTAGATCCAGCATGTATTTCAGCAATAAAAAATGTGCCCTGTTTAATGTAAGAAAGTGAATAGTAGGAGGCTGTTTCCTGGTTAGAGTGTATCAAATATGCAACTTGTCATGTTGGAGAAACAGAATTTTAGTAACTAGAAGTCTGCTAGAAAAAAAGGTTTTCCCTGATTTACAAAAATGAAGCAAGTAACTTTATTTTTTAATGTCTTGGTGAAGCAATAGAGAAGTAATCATAAAAGTTCATCTGTGACTTAAAATATGAGGAACGTAACTCTATAATAAGCTAGGTTTACCAGAGTTATGTAAGTTACTGTAAAATAGTAATGAAGTCTTAAAAAAACCCCGGAATTTAGACCCTTTCTTGTTTTCATTTGTCTTCTAAATTGCTTTCCGTTCTAGAATATCTCATTACTTAATAAGAGATTGTTATTCTGAGGGATGGTTCCCATCACTACAACTATGTATTCCATACTCAGCAGAATTTTGTCATGGTTACTCCTGGTTTCCAAAATCAATTGTCTCAAGACTTGTCAGACAGAGTTTATTTTATTATTGCCTCAAGATATTCCAGCTCAGCTTCTACTTTCTTTAAAAAGTAAACACAATTTAGTTAAACAGAGGACAACTCTAAATATGTCACTATTAATGGAGGCAATATAAAATAAATCTAACAGTATAAAATAGTGGCCAAAAGACTGCTGTAAATCCCACAAGGCAAACTGTCCCTTTGTGAAAACCCAATGTGATAAGAAGTGTTCGATGTGCCAGGACACATCTGTTGGTTAGCTCTAGGATAGTGCTTCAGTGATGCTGTTAACTTGTGTTTCTTTTGTGAAGACCTTTAAAAATGTCACAGTAGAAGCTATCACAGTTTCTGAAAAAAAAAAGTTATTTTGGGTAGGAGCAGCATTTATAAAAGTGTTTTCTCCCAAGTAACTCTACATTTCCAGCTTCTTTGTGATCCTCTCAGTTAAGTGTTTTGTCTGCTGCAACTCAGGTACCTATGTGCTCCATCTGTATGCAGTGAACCTTCTTTCTGTCCCTCAGAGCCAGACCTGTTGTGACAGTGAATGCTCAGCTCATTCTGAACCCCATGATTGTGAATCCAGACAATAAAACGTGTCTGCTCCCTGGCTCTCAGCTTTTGGTGGCCTGGTAAGTTCATGATTAGACAAAAAACATTCTCATGCTCGTTCACAAATAACTTCCTATTCCTAATTTTTCTTGCAGATTTTTGTTGAACATGTTTAAAGTTAAAAAAACCCCAATGTTTGAACACTCTGAGTGCAACCACCCCCCCCTATGCAGAATAGAGTTCTTTTTGATATTGTTCAGTACGGAACAGATTCTCAAAAGGAAGCAGCTAAAAGTTGAGTCCTTTGATACACTGAGCCGCCTCCTTCAGAGGAGGATGATCTGTCTCCTAGGATCAAGTTATAAATTCATTTGTGAAGTCTGGATGAATGAAAGGTGAAACAGCTAAGATGGACAAAACACAAAAACATTAATCTATCTAAACACATATCTTTGTTGAGAAAATGTAATAGTGAAAGTGACAAAGAGCTGGTGGGCCCACCATTTTTCTGTTAGAGAGGTTTTCATCATTTGTGGAAGAGAGAAGATACCTGGCTGGCCATCCTGAGAGCAGCTCACAGGGTTTCTGGCTGTCATTGGTCAGAAGAAAGCTTTTTGTAGTGCATCATACAGGACAATGCTCCATACACCTTTAAAAGATAAATGCCTCACAACTATAGCATTTAACTTTGAAAAGAAAAAGTACATTCTAAAAGTTGAAGCTAATTAAAACAATTTAAGGTCAGTTACAAATATCAAATGCTTGCAGGACAGTTGGAGGCTATGTAATAGCACACAATGTCACATAAACACACATTTACTGCACTATGAAAAAAATAGTCACTTAGAAAGGACCCCAGGAGCAGTTGATAAAAGAGGCTATTGTAAATACATAAGATACTGTTTAAAAGTAGAAATCATAACAAATGAGGAAACTAAAAGCAGAGCATAAACATGTGCAAATTGAATATAAAATACCAGTAAGTCTTGCCGGAAGGACTGCAAGGAACAGCTTTCTAAGACATAAAAACTAGTCATATCATTTTATTTCAACATATTAGAAGCTGAAAGCCTGCCAGGACGTGGGCTGGATGGAAAGAATATCAATGTGTAAAGGAGGACTTGAGAAGATAAGGTGACTGCAGAAATTTTGCACTGCTTCTGAACCAGAGGTGGTCAGAGGGATTCCCCACACTGGAGACACTCGTTACAGGAGATGACTTCTATGATGATGTAGATTAATGATCACAGTATTAGAGACAGCAGAAGAGTTATTAGAACAAACTGATAAATACAAACCATAAAAAATAATCATGGCCAGAAGCCGTTCATTCAAGAGTCATAAAGGAACTAAATTCTGATACACTTAAACTCTAAATCTGTGGGTTTTCAATGCATCTGAGGTGGAGCTGTCAAGAGATTTTAATTTTTGCTCTATTCTTTTACACTTTATGGGACTTCTCATATTTGTCATAAATGTTCTTCTTCTCTACATCCTGTGTAGAAAACCACCCATCTACAGAGCAAAGTAGAAGGCAGTCAGTAGAACTATGCATTTTCAGCACTATAAAAAACTTTATCCTTTCTGGAATAGAATCTAGATGAGGATCCATCCTGATTTTTTTTTTTTCATTCAAGCACCTTTTGTTTTAATAGTTGATGTAGCAGAATTTAAAATACCACCTGGGGCTGAAGCATGTTCACTGATCCAAATCATGTTTTTTCAGAACTTCAGTTTTTAAGAATGCTTTACACTGTAATGGAAAAGATTTCAAAACCATAATGTTTACCAACAATGTACTGGAAAAAAAGATGGGTTTTTTGCACAAGAGGAAAAGACAAAAACATCTCTGTTTAAATCCTGCTGTGAGGTGTTGTGTAAGAAAGGGAGAAAAAAAACAAAGTATGCTCCTTTAACACATAGGTTTTTTCATTACTTTCCATTTTTGTGTTACAATAAGCTAGAAGATGTTTGGTTGATATCTACAAGAGTTTTAATAGGAGCATAATTTAATTTGTCTGCTTTATTCCAAAATACACTTCCCTAAGGATTTAGTTCGTATTACAAAATGACTGAAGAACAGCTGCTATTTTCCATGCTGTAATTTTTCTCTTTAGTTGATATAATTTTGTATTGTACATACGAGAACAGTGAGTAGGGCAACTCCAACAAGCAAAGGATTCCTTGGTCCCCTGGGATAGATTTCTGTATCTCTTAGCCAGCTGTGCAGCTTGTATAAAATGTCTACTGACTGACACAGCAGAAGTAGAATGAAAGGAAACCTCCAACCAGAAAAGTTTCAGGAAGCATGTGTGTATGAATAATGTGGATTATTGTACATTTTCAAGTATTAGGAAAATATTATTTTTGCCATTATATGAAATGGAAAGCTGAAGCACAGAGGAAACATGCACAAAAAGTAATTTTATGTGCAGCCCTAAAATAATTTTCCTGAACTAGAAACATATAATTCTTTCTTTGCTATGTTTTAAAATTTACTATTTCTGAATTCCCAAATTAACAAATTTGGAAAAAAATCTGCAACTTTAGAGCTATTAAACAATTTTTTTTTTTTTTCTAAAGTGTGAATGATGCAGGTTAATTTCATAAAAAGAAGTAAGTAAATCAAAAAACTGTTTCCACACCATATAATTGATTATGTCCAAGACTGGATTCCAGCTATGAAAAGATCTAAATTATGGCTGTATTGCTATTTTCATTATTATTTGCGAGCTGATTATCCCTTAGCTACTCTGTTGCTACTTTGTGCTTAAATTGTATCTGCAAATTGTATTTATTCTGCCTTTCAGTAAGGTCAGGTAGTGTGCAAATACTGTTAACTTCATTTGGCAGAGGAGAAAGGCCGGAGAAGTTACCTGACTTACCAGAAGTTAGAGCAGCACAGAGGTGTCTGGTCATGCTAAACAGTCAATTTGCAGAATAGATTTTATTTGTTAATGCCTTTCAGCTTTTCCTGTTTGGATGTCTAATCTGAGGTATGCCTCAGGCTTCTTCAGGGAACCCAACCATCCATCTCCTCTAAGCCAGTGAACCAGAGGCAAACTGCTTAAAATTTCTAATCCGCAAGTTTCTACAACCAAAAAATAATTAGAAAAAAATTTTGTCATCCTTTTAGCTCAAAATGTGTTGTCATTATTAAAATAGTAATAAAATATTCATAATCTTGAATCAGCCAGATTCGTTCTAGTGCCATGGTGGACACTGTGGGTCACTGGGTTAGACTTTGGCATAACAAAATCTAAAAGCAGGCTGCGTATTGGAGTGTCATGGAATTATATTGTCTTGCTTTTCTTCTTCAAAGAGGAAACAATTTGCTTAAAACTCATTCATCAGTAGGTGATGATACCCTGTACTATTCTTCTGTAGAGGTTTGTGGCCTTGCAGGTTGTGGGGTCAGCCCTATCAGCCCCACACAGAATGGGAGCCCGTAGCACCAAAGCTTAAAGTGCCTTTCTGCTAAGGCATTATCCATTCTTCCTCTCCGTGTGCAATCCTGTGTGCTAAAGAAATTATTAACAATGACAAATGACATCTGGTAGGATCTGGTAACTCCTTGCTTTTCACTTCCTGAAGTAAGTTTCCTTTTTTTTTTTTTTTTTTTTTCACTACTAGAATAGCCAGACCAAAATAAATTTTCTGGTACAAACTGCAGTCCAGAAAACATTATAAGGGGGTAACTGCCTTTTCTGATTTTCTAAGGATTAACCACTTTGAGTAATACCAGGTAGTTTGGTTTGACTTCTAGAAAGACTACCCCCATTGATGCCATGAGTAGTTTTGAAGAAAGGAATATTTTTTAAGCATCTTGTTCTAATAATACTAAAAATATTTCTCTACCTGAAGAGCATAAAATGATTTAAAACAAATTGCTTTGTTGCCCCAAGATTACCAGGAAAAGCTGATGTGTTCAATTTTAAGGCTTTCCTTCTACTTTGTAGCTAGAGTCAAATACTGTTCAAACTGTAAGTTATAGTGATGACAGACACTGCAAAATAACTGTAATGTGGGGATGTCTTCAGAGAGGCAAGACTGATAGCACATTAAAGTTCATGCGCGTTAGGATGATGGACTGTTTCCCAGTTGTTTCTTATCTGCTGCAGTTTTCTTCCTTTGATTGTTAATTGTTTTGTTTGGTTGATGGCTCCTACAGGCAAGCTTGAAAGCTTAGCTATTACATTTCTTAGTGTGCCTTGAAGTCAGATCTTAAATCTCATAAATGCTTTAGTCTCCTGTCCTCTTTTGTGGTCTGTCTGCCTCTCTACTTTTCTTTTTTCTCACAGCTGAAGCATCCCTCAATATCTCCACATCATTGAAGTGACAAGTCTGTCTAAATTTGTCTGGTTTGTGATTGAAATCTGTGATAACTTTAGAACTATTTCTGAACTAAATACCCATAAGGTCACAAATGCGTGGCACAGTTCTGCTAAATACATCGTTTTGCCTCTCGCACGGCCAGCGGCTGGGTGACTGATAAACTCCAAATTTTTGCATTTATGCACTGCCATTCGCTTGGTGTTTTTTATGCTCTCCCTGGAATGCAAGGATTAAATCTTGGCTCTTACAGCAATGATTAAGAATATGACTTCTGTCATCAAATGTGTATGCTAAACCATCCTACCTATTCATTACAGTAAATAAAACATACACTGAAATTACAGTGTTTAACTAAAGTGAACCATTTCAAGATGGATTTTTAATGATGGTGCAAAAATTACGTGGGACATCCAAAGCAAGATCACCAAGTTTAATACATGATGGTAGTCCATGAGCTTAGATTTGAGAAAATACACTATTATGCTATGACATGTGAGACTGGCCTGTGAGGCCAGATGTCTAAATTGCATTTATGCAATTGCACAAGTTTTTCTCATTTTTGTTGCCCTTGTCCTTGTATATTAGGAAATAACTACCTCTTCATGTGTTATTTCATAATTGTAAAGAAGTGGGAATATGACTGAATCTGAAATTTCTGCATAGACTGTAATGTCATTTGAAGGCTATAGTTAAGTAAAGTTCAATTGCAAGAGGCAATTTTTTTGCCCAAGAGGAAAGTGTTTAATTAAGTGTTTAAAGTGTCGGTTCGCGACATGAGGTCATGAGAGTGTTGTGCATCCCAGATGTGGCAGTTTCATTACATTTGTCAGAGGAAGCAAACATGCAATTAGAATGTGATTACAGGTTATTTTAAAGGTCATGTTACAGACTTTTAATCCACTGCATGGAGAAGTTAGTATATAGTGTTAACAGTAGTGAGGAAATTAAAAACAATGGCTACTTCAAATATGTTTTTATTTAAGCCAACCTGATTTCACATCTTCCAGTGCTGACCTACAGTACATGTGTGGCTGAGTCTTACATATACCAAACAAAACATTTTCTGAAGACATGAAAATAGTCTTTAAGAATTATTGGTAACTAGGGACACTTGCAAGTTTTAGGAAGTCCCAAATCCTTCACTTGAACCATTCAGTTGGTATGCTTGGAATGAATTATAGTGTCTTGAAGTCATTAAAGTCTTGTAATATTGCCACTGGGGCACGTTGACATCCTGTGTGTTTTGATTTGCTAGAAAGGGAGTTGGGTGTTGACTACACGCTCAAGGATTTTTCTTACTTGAGCATGACGAACTAGAAAGGACTTCTGCAGACAGCCTCATACAAAGGTGTCTTGCTGAAGGAACCCAGTTTTGCCAATAGCATTAGAAGGGTGCTCTCTGTAGGCTGTCTCAAGAATTAATGGGAACAGAGACTCTTCTCCATACCTTTCCTGGCAAGATCTTCTGCCCCTGTATTAGTGGTGGAGCATAGGAGACTTGTTAACTTAGTTAGCGAATATTATAGGTAGCTAAATACAGATCTCAACAAACCCCTTTTTAAGAAAAGGAAAACTTAAAAGGTATGACTTGGGAACTGTTGATTGCCAGGTAAGGTCTCTTTCTGCTAATAATTATTTCTACTTTTTTACATTTAGCTTTACTGTAAGAGTCTGCGCAGACTTTGAAGGTCAAAGTATTTCAGATGAGATAGGTAAGAGATGTTTTATATTCCTGTAATTTACTCTGGCCCATTCAACTTCAGATGTATATTTTTCTTACACCTTGAAATATGATGAGTGAGTTCCTCCTAAGGCAAGAATTTGTATTTTAAAAGGTAGATATATATAACATAAAGCTTGTATTATTCACTTGAAAGACTTTTTGATTCAGTTTAAGCCATTTTCCAAATAAAACCAAGAATGTACCCTGTTGGAGAATGTTCTGTTTTGCAAAAAAAAAAAAAATTAAGAGACAAAAGTCTTGTACACATATGATCTGTAAATATAATTAGAAAGCTTTAACTACACATTCCATACTTTGGATCAAAAACTAGTGTGCTGCTAAACAGGCAGACACTTAAAGCATGGATTAGTTTTGCTTGGAAGACTTTGTTAGAGTAATTAACTGTAATACATAATGAATTGTTTACTGTTTTTTCTTTCCATGTTAAATAAATATTTTATTTGCTTGTATCCTTTAGTGCTGAAAGGTGAATTGCAATTAGATTCATTGAAACAGAAAGGAGCTGTTAAGAGGACCCTCTTTGTTGATTACCATCAGTCACATCATTACTTCTCCATTGCAATAGAAAGACAGAAACAGCTCTATTGCCACGACTTTCTTGTTTATCTCAGAGTAAGTTGTTTAAAATACTCAGGACTGTCAACATCACTTGAGTAGTATCAGGGATTCAGAGATAATTTTAAAAAAAAAAAGGACCTACAGGAAAAGGGAAAGAAGAGTTTTCACTTTTCTTAGATCCCAATATACAGAAATGTGAGATCAGAAAGGCATCATTTGGGTGTCCAGAATGTTTTTCTACCTGGGCAAAAACTTCCTGTGTAAATCTTTGGCTCATCTTTGGTCAAGACAAGCATAAAAGGAGGACTTCCTTTGAAGAGTGCAGTTTGTCTGTGTACAAATGAATTAATTTCATATTCCTCTGGAAACTGATTAAATACTGCATCTCCTGATACAAAAATGCAAGATGGCTCTCCCTATAGTATTCACAGTGGGCTAATCAGCTAAACATATTAAATGTCATGCCAGTTCAGATTCAACAGATATTTTGAAGGAGTGTCACCGGCAGTACTGGCCTAAAATTCATATATGTTAAAGATACTTTAAAATGTTTTTAGAAAAATTAAAGCTTTGAAACTTAAGTTTTGAAGAAAGGGTTATTAGTTACTCGCTTGCAGGTGGAAGTATCTCATGCAATTGAAGCAGATTCTTGGGCTGGTCCTGGAAGTGCAGCAGGAGGTGAAATGGAGAAGTCTCAAGCAGTATGCAAAAAGTATCTAGGCAATAAAAGTGGTGGAGTTTTACTTTTGCTAATCCATATAACTTCTTGGTTATGGCACAAACTCAAAATATTACCTCCACAAATCTACACATGCCCTACTGTCCTGGTTCCGTGTAAAAAGGGGTTCAGGGCAGGACCCACACGGAACAGAACTATGTACTCGCCTCTCCCCCCCCCCCTCGAGAGAGAGAGAGAGAGAGACACTTTTTAAAAAAATGAAGTATATTGTTCAACAAGGAACAGAAAACGAAAAAAGGAGGTAAGGAAAATAATATATATAAAGATCAGGGGAATAATACAAAAGATAAAATATACAAAACCCTCAGAAATGGTTCCAGGGTCCCACGGAGAGAAAGGCGAACTTTCCTCTCCGAGCTCCAAGGCAGGAGTGAAACAAAAAACCACTCCCTGCCTCTTATCAGAGTGTGTGTGGGAAGGGGAGGGAATACAATGGTTTCACCCCCACCCGGGGTCCTCCCAGTTGCTGGAAGGTCACGACCCCATTCCAAGCCTCAAACCACAACACCTACCTCCACTCTGAAATGAAGGTGGGCAGTAGCTGATAGGAGTTGGTCCTGTGTGTGTCGTTTAAACAGCTTGATTTTAGGCTAATGCTTTGAAAAGGTTTACGTCTGTTCAGCTCAGACAGCTTCTTCCAGATGTGGAGCTGTGGAGGCAATGTGTTCTGGGTAGTCCAGTTACTCAGGAGTCATTTGGCTTTCCTAATGATGTTACATAAAGCCAGAATTTGGCCAGCAGCTGTCAAAGAACCATACCCTTACCTTCAATAAAGACTAAAATATGAATATATTTCCATACCATGCTAATCTGAAATAATTATATTAAACCATTGGATTTTATTATGTGTCGCTCACAGGATGAAACAGAATTTAGAGATAAATTATCTCCCATAAATATAAACTTGAATTATAGTTTGGATGAATCCAATTTTGAAGATAGCTTGACTGTGAAGCCAGTACTGAACTATTACCAGAAAAGATCAGTGACAGAACAGGTATGAATTTTGCATGCAGTATTTTCTGTATATAAATGTGAAAACATGTACAAATACTTTGTGTATCATCTTCCTTAAAACAGAATATCATGTCCAGAAATTAAACAACAAGGATTTAATTAATTCAAAATGTAAATTGGATATAAATATAGAACCAGGCAGGCCTTTAAAGCATTTCTGAAACTTAATTGTGTTCATAGTTTTGACTGCATGTTAGAATATGTAAGCCAAGTTAGTCTGGGAAAGGGCATGAAAGATTATATTGTTCTGCTGATGTAGTTGACAGTCTAAATAGTCACCAGCTACTCATGAGGAAAGGAACTTGTGGAAAGGAGAAAGATTAATTCTCTAGGGCAGTGCTAGTGATATTTAAGACATTTATGTTAGTGATATTTAGTGAAGTGATTAGGACTTTGAAGCATCTACTAACTGTATTATGATTATTTTCTTTTGCAACAATACAGGCTTACATTCTGGTTGACTGTGGGGAGGACAACTTGTGCATTCCTGACTTGCAGCTTTCTGCTGTGCCGTAAGTTGAATAAAATAAATTATGCTGGATATAAAATCCAGACACTTTTAGCTGCTTTAACAGAATTAAATACGTAGAACACAGTTCTGCTGTTTGCTGGAGCTGTTGATTCTTACTTGATTTCCAGATTTTAATTTATACATCCTGTTAATCTAGAAAACCAAGAAATAGAGACATACACTTGAAAATGTATCTGTCAGATACATTAATGATGTTTAATTGTTATCACAGAAAGAATAGTTTGCAAGTATTTGTTAGGAGTGATTCTGATTCTCTGAATGTCAAGAGATAATACAAATTGTTGCTCAAAGGATATTTTAAATTTAATTTCAGTGTGCCTGTGACTTTGAACCTGGACACAGTTCTCCTGAACTCAGTGTACAGTGAAGTAAATAAATCTCATAGTAAAGGAATTTCAAAACACAGCAACAGATTCCTCCTTTGGAGGGACAAATGTGCCAAGCAGGACAAGAGGGGAACCTCTGTCAGTTATCTGACTTTCTGCCATGAAAATCGGTATGTAGCTGTGAAAAGAAAGGGCACAGTGCTGTTACAGGTCTCAGATCTTCTGTTGTTCATTTTACAATAGGCATGAGGGAAAAACTGGAATCTCATCACCTTTGTGCCCTCCAGAAAACAATGTTGATGGGACCCCTATGGCTAGTAATTCTTCCACCAGATACTTCTTTCTGGTTGGAAAGTAGTCAGGGTCAGTAACTTCAACATTCTGTGGTAGTCCGATTCGATTGTCCATGGTGGTGTTTTCTCTTGACCTCTTTCCTACCCAGGTGCTGGTATACTTTTCCATGGAGTCATTTTTTATGGAAAATATTTTATTCTGTGTTCACAGAATATTTTCCAGAACAGGTGCTAGGAGGCCAAAATGTTCTGCTTTATTCATACATAAATTGTTACTTTGCATGTTTTAACTCCTGACAAGTAATAATGTTCTCTACAGAGATAAAGATCAGCTAATAATTGGTGAAGAAAACTGTGTCACGCTCATAATAAATCCAAGGAATGATGGGGAAGGAGCCTATGAAGCTGAGCTACTTATAAAGATTCCACCTGAAGCAGATTACACTGGCGTTGAACGCAACAAGGTAAATGAAAATCAAAAGGTTAGCAATAATAAAGCAGAATAACAGAGGGCAAAGTTAACCTACACAGGCCTTACCAGCTGAAGGCAGCAAGAGGTGCCTTTAAGGAAAGGCAGATTCCATTGACTCTCAGCTATCCTTGCTCATACAGTCCATGCTAAAGATTAGCCTTGTTACTAGAAGATGGGAAGGACAGGACCATTCTCTTCAAAGCCAGCTCACGTCTAGTTCCTTGCTATTAACTTAGTTGTTATACCACAGAAACTCTCTCACATTTCTTCTGGGGCTAAAGGTATTCACATCATTCAGATTTTGAACAACTAAACCCTACCAGTAACAGAGTTATAGTACAGAATCCCTTAAATGTTTCCAACCTTTGATCCTGTGGTACCAGTTCTTAAGAGTTAGTTTGGCCCTGCTGATCCCCGGACACTTAGACACTGCTGTCTCATGCTCCCAGCACACCACTGTTTTACCATTACATTATTAAGGGTATCTCAATGTTTGATAGCCTGAATAGTTGAACATTAATTGTAGTATTAAGTTGACAAAGTTGATTTCCTTTGATAGGCTAAAAAAGCAGTCATAACTGAAAATGTGCCAGTGTTCACAGGACTAAATGTTGACTGAAGTCCTGCTGAGCTGTACTGAACACAGAGTGTTTTCTTTCTGAGCCTGCTTGTTTTTAAAGAGAAAAGGCAAAACAGTGCAAACAAGCAGTGTTCATGTATTGTCCGTTGGACAGCAGGTCTGAATCACCTCATCTGCACATAAATCTCCCAAGCTGTTGCAACATTAGCTTGCTTTGTTCTGTCAGTGCCTGGAATGTTCAGAAGGGCCTCAAGGGTGAGAGTGGGAGAGAGCAAGTTAATTTCCTTTCTAAAGGCAGATGTTTTTAAGGAAGTTGAAAGTTTCAAGGTTGAAGGTTACAAGGTATTTCCTTATTCTTCTGTCTGTGTCTTTATTAATGAGCTTTTAATGCAGTTTAAAAAAAAAAAAATTACAAGAACTAATGTCACAATAGATGAGAATATGGAAATTCTTTGCAACCTCACTTCTCAGAACCATATCTTTGTACACAAAACAAGTAAAGACACCAGCCTCTTTCTATTGTATATTTCCTTTTTTCTCTTAGCATGCCCTCTTTTTTTTCAGACTGTGATCTACAAAACTGATGTTCTTTCATATACTACACATGGTTATACTTTTCCTTTCTTGCTCTTTCAGAATCTTTGGCTGTTCTTTTGGCCGTTCCCAAGGATGTCAGGGGAGGCACTTATTCCAACACCCACAGCACGTATTAGCACATATTTATAATTTGGACTGGACAGAAATCACTGGGGGCATTTTGGTTTTTTTTTAGGAAAAATTGAATTTTGTAGTGCCAGCGGGGTAGACTCATGGGGAAAGGAAGGTAAAAGGAGGTGGGAGATTTTGATCCTTTGGAAGAATATGAAGCAGCTAAAATGGGTTGAGATTGGAGCATTAATGTTCTTTTTCTTTCAAAAAAAAATTCTAAACACCCAGGAAATGTTACTCAACCTCTTCATTTTCTTCAGATTTTGTGGAAGAGAATATAAATTTTTGACAAATCAAATTCTGAATCCTTCTGGATTTATAGAAAGTCACCTTCATTTTGTCCACATTTACTTGGTGTGCTACCACATATAACTTTTCATATTCTTTTACTTTCATACTTATTCAAAGGGATATTATGTTCTTTCTGAGAAGGATCAATACATTAATCCTACTACCTACATCATTCTCAGTGTCTTCCCTTCTGCATGTCAAGAACAGTTCTCACAGGGGGTATATGTGGTACTGAAATCAAGTTTATTCTTTCAGTTGTTTTTAAACTGCAAATGTACATTTTTTTAAACTATGGCCTGTATGATATTTTGGTTCTATTAAACTAAAAAAAATATCAGTGCATTTGGAAAAAAAATTGATACTGTAATTTTCTTCAGAAAGACAAAGCTCTTTTTTTTTTTGCATTTAACTGCTGACAGAGGTTGTCTCTTACATGTATTCAGTTGCTTTTCTGTACTGCCATATGTCATCTAAAACTGTTGTGAACATGACAAAGAATATACAATCTTTATAGTTTAAAAAGATAATTTAGAATGGAAAAATACAGTTTTAAACTGGGACAATCCTTCCTCTTTCATTTCAGTATTTAATTTATTCTAAATATATGAGTTAAGTAATTTGAGCGCTCAAAACAAGAATTAGCATTTTTTTTTTTTCATTTTTTTCCTTAGAGTGAGTGAAGGTTCATGGATTACCAGAATAACCAAATTCTTAGGAGTCATAGTATAAATGAGTATAAATTAGAGGGACTCAATTAATTCAACCTGCAGGGCTTAAAAAAAAAAATAAATGGCAATTTGAACTGCTTGACAAGAGCACAGAAGAAATCATCAGACTAGTGCGCAGTAAACACTGAGGTATGTGGAAAAAGTCTCTTAGTCTGTTGGTACTTTGAGGCATGGACCACAGATGAAAATTAACACTTTGCTGCCAGTTGCAGTGGAGTCTTGCACTCTACCAGTGGGGCATCTGTAACTGCTCTTGAAACGTACTTAATTTCTACCAGCATGATTTCAGCAGACAGGTGGATTCGTGGTAATGCCTGTTGCAGTCATGCTCTTAAAGCTCTGCATCTAAGGTTGTCATTGACTCTTCAATGTGCAGTCCTCTGTGTAGCTGTTTTTCCTCCAAACTGCAGAATTCCTTGTGTTAAGGCAGAGATAATATTTACTTCAGAGACAGCAAAACAGGGGGACTGAGAGCAGAATAAATGCAATGTAATGAGCTGAATAAATCACTTGATACATTTCTGATGGAACTGGAAAGGGTTTCGAATTAAATCATTGTATCATGTTGCCATCATTTCAAAGTAACTATACTCATAGAGGATATTAGGCTACTTTCATGGGGCTGCTCTGTTAATACCTAAATCTATTAGATAGATTGAGAAACAAATTTATCCCATAAGTACTTCCTGTCCAACGTGATTTTTATGGAACAATTTATTGGGTTATTCTGTATCATTTGAATTACAATCAAAAAGTTTTAAAGTCAACAACTTAAGCTGAAAATTCACTTGCTTTCTACCTCTTCCCTTCAGCTTTATGGAATACAATGTTTGACCTACTTCATTTGTCATCTTGTCATCTCAGGCCTGCTTCTGTGGCATATTGTACATAGAGTGTGCAACCATATCTGAAGAGATGCAGAGATGTAGATGATCATATGCAAGTGGAGAGCCAAGTGAATGTGCATGATCTTAAAAGTTTGAGGTCAAGGGTGTGATTTTGAAGTTTCATAGTCTCTTTTCCTTGTGAGGAAAAACTAGTATGAAGAATACTAGTTCTTCATATATCAGCTAGATGAGAAGCCAGATTCTGGTACCAAATCCACCCACTTTTCCACAGAAAATAAAGTTAGAAGGTGTGGATCAAGGAAGGAAAGGAAGTGTTTTACTCTGCAGCCTGTTGGGCTTAACCATTCTGGCATCAATTAGTAATTTATTACTAAGACCACCAGAAAAATTTTCAAGTTTGTAGGCTGCTTTGATTACTTAAGGCATCCAATCATTTTTTAGTTTAAGTGCACCCTGGGAGCACATGTTTTTTGCTTCTGCTCAAGACTGCCTGAAAGACCTTGTACTGCTATAAAAAAACAGAAGTTGCTACTGGTGTCAGGTAGAAGAGTTTTTTGGCAAAACTTCTGTCTGTCTCAGTTACATATGAACTCCATACTGACAATAGTAGGTGTGTAAGTGTCTGCTCTTGCTTGCTTCCTGCCTGGTTTCAGTTTTCCTGTGTTGTACTTTACAACCTCAAAAATGTGATCAGTTCAAAAACAAAGGCAATAAATCTCAGTCCTGAAGGAAATTCTAGCACAGCTTTTGTCACCTTTGACACATCTGTATGCTGCACAAATTAGCTTCTGTGATGCTGGGCATATAAATTCTGTGCTATTAATCTTACTCAGTCTAAGAGCCTTCAAATTGCAGAAAAGTACTCACGAAACTCGTCTATTTGCGCACCCTTTGAGGGACAAAAGATGTGTGATAAAGGCTGATTGACTCTGTGCTGGTCTATGATACAGCATTAGTAAAGAAACTGCCAAATATCAAATATAGATGAATATTTACTTTCTAACATTTAGACCTCAATTTCAAACACACACGCCCTCCCAATAAAATCAAAATAATGAACCCACACGTCAAGCTAAAATGAAGTTTTCCATGCACGTTTGGTTTCAGCTGTATTAACACCCTCTGTTCTCCCATGTGTGGCTTCCCACCTCTAATGAACTAGCTGGAAAGAGGGTAAAAATCCCCCACTCCCGACCATAGAGAGGCTTGAAAAGCCTGTTAGTGTTCTGGATGTGCTGTGTAACAGGCTCGGTTTCCTCCTGGCAAATTGTAAAAGTGTAGGTATACAATGAGGGGGGTACTGAGGGCATGCATCATGTGGGCTTCTTTCAGGGCATGCCCTATCTTTTCTTTTCATCTCAGGAAATAATAAGGTCAGCATGTCCATGCTGGTTTTTACAGATAGGAATGAATTGCTAGTCGCTGGTCTGGAGGCTTCCCAGGTCTTTTTATCTAAACAGCATGACCTTGCACCTATTACTTAATCTGTGAGAATCACAAATGAGAGGAAGGGTAGTGGAAGAGCCTTAGAGCAACAGCTAACTGCATCCTGCCTTTACAAAGCTGGTTTACTTCTGCACATATATGGAAGTGTTTTCTTTTATTGAATATGCCCGAGAGGAAAGAAGGGAAAAAAAAAAGTTGCATTGTCTTACTTTATCTCCTGTCTCCTAACTTCCAGTATTCTATAGTTGTTCCTCCTGTTTATACAGTCTGGTTTGTTTACAGATTATAGTGACTAGTGATAAAAAGTAAAGCGTTAAAAAAAACTTACAACAAAATCTAGGATATGTTTTGTATTAAGAGCTTCAGAGGGTAATTATGTGAGTGTATTCTCAAAGTTATCCAACCAAACTGCCTGAGAAATGTTAGGTACAAACTGGATTCTGAATGAATAGATACTGGGAAAACAGTTAAATTTTACTTATTGAAAACAACCAAAAACTTTAATTTCTGGTTGTGCCTAATTATAAACAGAGGTAATAGTTTGTTTTTACAGAATTATTTAATGTTCGAAGTACTTTACCATAGGTCAGAAAATAAAGTTCAAGATTTGGTTGATAATAAACTTCTGCCAAACCCAGAAATTCACTATGGAGACTCTAGTGATGGATGATACAACTGTTGCAACCAGTGCGAGACCTGTTCTCCTCACTCAGTTTTGTCTAGTCTTTTTTTTTTTTCCCTCTGTTGAGTCGTTATGGCTATAGGAATGATTCCAGCAGAGTGGTATGTTAAAACTAGAGATACAGTGATCTCCTTATGGCTTTTAAGGTATTGGGAAATCTTCCCATTTGTTTTTCCCTGGCATCAATTTTCCCCTATTGTCTGACAATAACCAGTGAAATGTTTTGATAGTACACTGAGCAGGTGTCTGAAATAAAAAGAAATGTCACAGTCAAAAAGCCATCACTTTCCCAACTGGATACATTTCACTGTGATCTCTGACCTCCGTTTTGGTGTCCTTTTGTTACAGGCACTGCGTGTATTGAGCTGTGATTACAAGATGGAAAATGAAACTAGAATGGTGGTTTGTGATCTTGGGAACCCCATGGTGGCTGGCGCAAATGTAAGGGAAAACTAGATGCATTTACTGATTTTTATCTAACTGAATTTCAAAGGGAAGCAAATGGAAGTCTATTCAATTAGCAGACTGTCCCAATAAGCAGCACGTAAGCAAATTTTTTATTTCAACAGGAAATTGTTGGTGTAGTAAGAGCCAGACCTGAGCTTTTGAAAAACTAACGATTTGTTGTTCTAAAAGTAATTATGCTAAAGCCTTTGTTTTATTTTACTTATTGTAAAAAAGAAAATTAGTGTTTCATTTTAATTCACAGAATTTACACTAATATAATGAGAAGAGAATCCTAACCCACAATGTGATCTGTTTATTTCTCCTTTTTAGTATTCTTTCTACTTAAGATATGTGTAGTAAATGACAGCTTTTTTTAGCCTGTTTCTCATCCTGAGTGCATAAGGGCTGTCTTATCAGTTTAGTTTTAGTAGCAGAATAAAACAGCAGGATTCATTACCTGTTTAAGGATATTCTGGCTTACAACAAAAGAATCCAACCTGTAAAAATTAAGGCACGTGAAGATAGAGGATTACAAAACCAGATGGCAAAAATGTTTGATTATAGCAAGTGAAAGCATAAAGCCTAACTTCATCTTTGAAACCAGGTCTCCTGGAAGCATAGTAAAGGTGGAAAGACTTTTTCAGTCCAAGTGTATTTGTGATGGCAAGTGTACTTCCAAAAGCAAAATACCAGCCTTTTGTACAAAGTGCATAAATCATGTTGGTTGCTCTGATCCATTTCCAGTTTTGCAAAACAATTTGACTCTGGCAGGAGATCAGTTATTCTCAAAATATTTGGTCAGAAAGGGACTCTGTGGAAGTTGTGAGGGAGTGGGAAGGGGAGGGTTAGGTCAAAAATCAAGCATTCCTAAAACTCTTAACTATTGAGTCACTATAATGACTTTTCAACACCCTGAAATCCTAGAATTCTTGACTCTTCAGGATCAACTTCTGAGTATGAGAGTTATGTCAGGATTTTGTGAAATAACCCATGGGATATTACTGCAGGAGACTACAGTGTTGTCAGATGCTTCATTTCTTCAACATACGTTATTGTTACGAAAATTAGTATATCTCTGACTTTTTCAAAATCTGTGACCTTAAAATCAGTTACTGGCCACAAAAATTGCTTAACCTTTTCAGTAATATCTTTGTGGTGAAAAAAAATATAAAAAGGTAAAAGGAAGATAAAAAGAAATGGAAATGAAAACCACAGTACCGTACGGCCCAGAATGCAAAATAAATATCTGTGATACCATCTCATTCTCAGAGTGCTCAAAGTGCTGATTTATGGCATTGAAATGGATAATACTGGCAAGCTTCCTAGTGCCTGTTCGGCAGCCTTAGCAAGTAGAATGTATGTTTTATTATAAATTTTGGTAGAACAATTTGGAATTTAATAGAAATGAATAGAAATAAGGTTAGAAGACTGGGGAGCTTGGAAGATCTTGCCTGTTGCTTGGTACTTGCTATATTGATTCTTCAAGAGCACAGAGGTTTTAGCTTTCATATGCACTGGAAGACACTTCAAAAAAAAGCTAGTTCTCTGTCTCCTAGTGGTTCTAAATCCTGTCAAACATAAAGTAAAGCTTATCAGTAATAGCAGAATTGTCATATATTTCAAAGATACGTGATGTTACTAACATGAAAAATAATACAATTTTAATGAAAATAACTTTGCTTGGAAATTTTTGAATAAAATTGAACTGTTTCAGTAAGATTAATGTCGTAGTAAAATAAGGCAGTTGAGTGATTGCCAAGTTACAAGCTCAAGCAAATTCAGCTCCTTTGGTCTCAGTGGGTTTTCAGCAAGAGCATATGAGCATCTATGCCCCCCATTATTAGTAGTAGCGTCAAGGGCTACTTGACATTAACAAAGGTGTGTGACCATACAAAGGCAACATCTGCAGCTTATTAGGCTCATACAGTAGGAGTGTGTTTCAGTATTAAATAAGGGATTAAGCCTCAAGGGTATAATAGATCATCAAAACTGCAGTTCACGTCTGCTCTGAGAAAAATTTTATCTTTGGTTCATCAGATCTTTATTTGCTGCTATAAATGGAAACAAATTTACATAAACTGATCAGTAAAAAAAGAGAGAGAAGTGCTGAATTGAATACATCTGAATTTTTGTCTCAGATTAAAAAGATTGTTATGTATTTAAAGGTGAATGAAATATCAAAACAGTTGTTAAAATGATTTCCAAAAAGTGGTCTTAAAAATAGCTTACATCTTTATTATTACAAGTTAGCTATTCAGCTTCTGTTTAATTTGAGCATTATCCTTTGATTTTAAAGATTTTACTTCCAAAAAGAGAGATTAGCTATAACTATAACATTGAAATCAGAGTTCCGAGATTTGAATTTGCCATTTCTTTCATGATGACAATATTGCTTTCAGCATAGGACAGCTGAAGGAAGCAACAGAAACATTTTAGCTAAGTCTCATTCTGGAAGTGTGTTACCACTCAGTGCACCACTGCAAGTGAGAAAAGGAGAACTGAACGAATTATTATTTTAATTTTTTTTTAAATATGATTGGTAAAAAGGAATTACTTAAACATCTGAAATGACACCCACAGAGGAAAATGCCTCCTCTTCAGTGATGTTGAATCTAGGTCCCAAACATAAAATTCTGCATTGTTGCGTCCTGTCACTGACCATGGCACCCGAAGTACATTAAGGAAAGTATGCCAAGAGGACAAATCTTTTTTCTTGTTTTTTCCCTTCCTGCCCCCTATAATATAATCAGGTATTGGTAGAGAAGAAGGAATGATGTCCTCATTTCCTAATGCCTTTTGATTAATTTCTTGGGAAGATTGTTCCTCCACATGGAGAATATGACTATATGTAACCATCCTTTTTAAAAAACTGGAAGTAGAGCGTGCAAGTGACCTGGCAGGAAGTCCTGCCATCAGGCAATAGGGGAGGTGGGGGCAATGAGAAGTTGTGCAGGATTACAGCCTGTAGACTTTACTGGCAGTCTCAATTCAAAATTCACATTTCAAAAATTACCAGATTTAAAGCAAGTGCAGTTGAAAAGAGACAATTAAAACCATTAATGTAAACATGGCAGTACAATTTTACTAATTTAATGTGGAAGGTAGGTGGCATCTTCCCCTACTCTCCTGCCACTTACATACTGGGGCTGTAAATACATCCAACAGGAGGGTTACAGAGACCCCACCATACACTATTATATATTCCTTCTTTAGTTGTCTCTGCAATTCCCTTCTGTCATCTGAATTAACTTGTTTTGCTCTACTCGGTGCCCTTCCTGAAAAGCAAATAGAAATGATCGGAGGGAGGAAGCGAGGTCAGCAGAGACACAATGGAGCACCAGTGGTAGCCCTTATCTCTGTCAGTTTTGGTGACTGTGTGTGTTACCCTCTGTCTGCTGTGATCACATGCTGCAAGTTGTTGCAAAGTGAACTGCAAGTATAACTTGGAAGTCATATTTTTCTTAACTGAACTGCAGGGAGAAAACTCAAACCAAATCAAACTAAACATCGAGTTGCTGCTAATTTAGCCTCTAGAAGAAAAACAGATCAGTCAGTCCCACAACACCTAAAGCACACAGCTCATATGTCATGGTTACAGAGTCAGAGTCAGCGTGGAGAGCAGGAAGCCCCGGAGACCTGGACAGAGGCATGCATGGATGGAGGCAGGGATGAGAGGTGCCAGACAGCTATTATTTTCTTTGGGCTTGGCAAAGTAAAACAAAGACTGTCTGGATGACCAAGGACCCACTGCTGTGTTCTTTGGAGTATTGGGAATATGCTTCTCTGCCCCTCTTGATCTGTCCTCTGTCTAGCCTAGTTTTCCATCTGGTGACATACACAGGTAGGATGGTATTTTTTCCTGAAAACAATTAGAAAATATTATTTTATGCTACTTTAAAAATGCAACAGTACTCTATACAAGTCTTTGAAATGCAGTCTTGAACAGTACTGCTTTCTTGATATGGAAAGATCAACCATTTTAAAGTAACCTGTGGTTTTTTTTGTTTCCTTCTCAGTTCTCTACAGGCATCCGATTTTCTGTTCAGCATTTTGAAAATGCAGATTTCAGCATCAATTTTGAGCTGCAAATAAAAAGGTTAGACGTTTTGTCAACAGTATGGTTATTTAAGTTCTGAATTCCTATTTATATCTGAAGTTTAATGTATGAGAAGTTCACTCTAGCTCTTCGGTGTCAGTAGTTATTTCATGGGCTTTCCTATGATAGCTTTCTTCAGGAGGATTTGTGGAGTAGAAGCCTTGTTAGCTTTTAGCAAAATCAGTATTAGAGTTATTCTGAAAATTTTGTTAAAATTCAGGTTAACTGGTTTTGGCCAGTCAGCTAAGGGTCTTCTACAGATGTGCCAAATTTGCACTTCGTTTTCCACTTCAGAATTAAAGAACAGTGATCATTTTGTAACAAAGTTCTGTATTTAAAAACATATCATGCTCTGCAAAAAAAAAGACACACAACTGGTTCATGACAATTCAGAAAATGGGAGGAGAGCAGTTAAAATCTGCTCAACAGATTTATTGGCATGAAGAGAGAAAACTGTTCCAGTTTGATGAAGTAGAACCTTTGTCCTTTTTCCATTAGTTTCCTCCACGTTTGTGGGGCTGAAATATTACTGCTGGATAATCTTCTGTTTTATACTGAGCAGTACTTTCTCCACAGGGACAAAATAAAAAAAAAACAGGATGGGCTGTGTTAGGATAGATAACAGTAAGAGAAAACCTGGGACTTTTTCATTTGGTGACAGGGCTTCTGCTCCATCTGTCCTCATCAAATACACACTGGAGTTGCTGATGGGGCCTTCTCTGCAGCCCGTCCTCCCCCCCCCTTAGTTGCTAATGCTTTAATGAGGGCCTTGGTCATGTTCGCTATGGTAAATAACTGAGACATTTGAAATACATGTCATGTTTCCATAATGTAAGCCTTGAAGGAAAGGACATACAGAAACTCAGGAACGGCACAGCAATGCCACAGAAGACAATGAGGTGCCTGGTCAGGCCTCAGCCCTCTCCCACGGTTCTGGCGGGTGAGCTGGAGATCATGGAAACCTAGGCACGGGCTCCTCCAGGGAAAGATGTAAGATATAACATCTAGCTTGTAGGTTCCCTGTCCATACCACTGTTCACTGTCAGGCCATTAATGCAAGCAGTACAGTTTTAAATGGGTATTGGAGGCTATTGTCACTACCTTTTTCATGCTGTGAAATTTGGGAGGTTCAGAGCTTTTTGGGTAGCTAGATCTTTCTAGGTAATGAGAGTTGAGGGTAGGTCACTTTTCGCAGAAGTGAAAATGCTTTAATAAGGAATAAGTCTGAACTTCAGGAGACAGCAACTCTTATGCTTCCTCTGTGAGTGTGACTCGCTGAAATGTAAAGGGAGGAAATCTGCTGGGCTACCAAAAAGAAGTTTCCACAAACTGGTATCCAAATGCTGAAGAACACCTAACTACTTAGAAAAGAAAAGTAAAACTTCCTGCATAGGAGATGTGCCTACAGTACAGTCTGATTTTGTGTCCCCTTCTGAGTTATTCAAAGGAGAGACCTTTAAATTATTCCAGCACATCAAGTGGAAAATCAATATTTTTGATTTGCAAGACTGAAGTTCATTCCCTATAGGAAATAAGCAAGAGGCTGAGTAGTCTTACAATCTGATTTCTCTTCTGATGTGGATTTTGCTAGGTAGTTATATACCCCCTAGAGAGGAATGTGTCCTGGTACTTTTATTTAAACTGTTTTCTTCTCTACAAAATACCATAAAGCACAAACAAGATCTGAATACCAAATACATATGACCATAATCCATATTTTAACTCTGTGGAAAGTAGTCCCATTATACAAATCAGAGAGCAGTATTCTAACAAATTAGTAATATAGTCATTTTTATACTTTAAGCAGTGTCTGTACTTCTCAAAGCAATGGCTATAGAGGATTACATCAAAAGTTCAAATTATATTTGAGGGGAATCTGCATTGGTTTACAAACAAATTAGGGCTGCTCCTAATTTTAGCAATCTGTAACCAGAAAGCCTGGATCAAAGCAGTATTGCTCTCTTCTCCTCAGGAGTCAGTCACTGGGAATGCTGGCCTCCTCTGAACATTTCCATTTGACTGATGCTACCCAGATGTGGTAACAGTAAACTGTGACAGCAATAGAAACTTAGTCTCCTTGAAGCAAGGAAGTACTTCCACACTTGCTTGAAAAAAAAAAAAAACAAAAAAACAAAACCTCCAATCTTATTATCAGTAATCCCACAATTGAATTAATTCTAAGTCTGGAGTTACTTATTTTCACTATCCTCATGAATTTGAACCTGCAAAACCTTTCTTTACATGAATGGGCTGCAATCATAGGAATGGCCTTTGGAAGTAAGAGAAACTACCTTTATTACTAAGGATTTGCAGTATGAAAAGACAATTAATGACACCACTGGGCTTTAAATGTAGTGATTTGTTTACACCGCTCAGAGGGATTAAGAGTGTAAACACTCTCTTGGGTACGGGAAGGGGGAAAATAAGACAGGCAAATGCTTTATTTTGGTTCTTTTTCTCCAGAGACTCTGTTATGCGGAAGTCACAAGTTTGGAGAATCACAAAAAGTAAATTTTATGAGAACAAAGCCTATATTGTTCATTAACACTGCTTACCAATGCAGGAAACACTGGTTTTCTATTAAGATGCTGCTATCCATGCCAATAGCCAAGTTGAACAAGGGAATTTATATGATATTCTGAGCAAAGCAAATTTGTAGCATCATATTCACACATAGGATTCTTTAAAGGAAACTTGAGTTGATTATATTGTTAAACATGTGATGAGCTCAGATAATACCAAACTTAGGTACTAGTATCTTCAAAGGCTGAAGAGGGGCAATAGCAAGTCCATTGTGTAATATGCGTCATGGCCTGCATCACTTCCTAATTGTAGGCTGTGTGGTATTCAGTGCTGTATCTATAACAATCTAGAGTTCTGCTAAATGACCTTTTTTAACCCTTGTACATATCTTTTCCAGTTCTAATAAGATTAATCCTACCAGCAATTTGGTTAACCTCCATATCAACATCAGTGCTATGGCTCAAGTACAGATCAGAGGGTAAGTATTCAACCATACCAATTCATAGTGATAACTATTTTCCACTATACTTTCCATGTATATTCCATGCAGTGAGTCTTTTGACATCCTGTAATCCCAAATGCTTCAACCACAAAGAATACCTGAGAATTCCCAAAGAGCCTCAACCCTGCACCCTTGCAGGATGGAGCTACTAAGGGCTTACCAGGTCATGCAGGGCAGGACTGCCCACATGGACTCCTGGAAACTTACTGAGTTTTTGTGCAAATGCAGCACACTGTAGAATCCCACATTGTAGTAACATCAGTCAGAGCCAACGTTTTATTTGAGCATTCAAATTGTTTATGAGTGTTACAAGTACAAAATGCCTGTATGTGTAGGTCTGTTTGTGTAACTACATAGACACTTAATCCTGAATACTATGGCAGAATCTGCTGCCTTTATGACTGGAATGGTGAAACACATTATGGCAAAGCATATACTATTAGAGAGCAGAGTGAGGCCTTTGGAGAAAGGACAAATAAGGAATGAGCTATCACAAGAGGTCAGCCAGCTACTGCTGAAGTATTCTTACATTTCTGTCTGAAGCAGGTGCCTGTCCACTGACACAGGGGATACTGAAACTAAAGCAGCACAGGATGTGATCAGAGATTATTATTTCTATCTCTGTTCTCACATAGAGCTTAATTTTGAAAGCAATAAAATGCAATTAGGTGATTAGAATCTCAGACTGCCCTGTCTTGGAAGTAGGCTCCTAAACTGGCATCCTGAAGAAATTTAGGAAGATGTTCTTTTAAAGTAAATAATTGCTCTGAATGCTTTTTGTCTAGGATCTCAGATTCCCTACATCTCCTCTTCTCTGGACCTTAACCATTCTCGGATCTGCAAGGGTGGAATAGGAGGTACATGGCTCAGTTTCACTTCTACAGTCAGACCAGTAGGCCTGGCTGATGGGAGAGGGGTAGATGTCTCTTATAGGAAGCACCTCAAAGGGCTGCCTTACATGTAAACAACAACAAGAAAAAGGCATTTTTTTAGGCTTTTGGGGATTTATAAAAATCCATTTATTGTTATCACATCTAAACCAATGTTTGACTACCTAGTGCCAGCAGAGTCCAGTCATTTTGGAGATAAGACATCATGTTTTCTGCTGTAATATTCAATCTAAATCACAGAGATTTTAAAAGTGTTTTTGATAAAATACTGTAAATGTTTTCTAGGTTAAGAAGACAAACCCTAAGGCTAGAGTTAGATGTAAAAGAGAGGATTGGTACTCAAAGACTGTGTGGATATATGTTAATACCTGTATTTTTGAAAAAGAGCAGTTGAAAGACAATGTGTTTAACAAGAACAGAAACAAGTGTATTGTTTAATTTTCTCCAGTTAGTGGCAATCTAGGGAAATTAACTGGATAGGCAGATGGAAAATACAAAGTGAAGGGGAAGATAACACAGAGGTAAAGGCTGAGTAAATAAGAATCAAAGGGGTTAGTTGGTGTGCTACAGCTGTGTGAGAATGAGAGTCAGCAACTGCTTGAAGGGTGGACAGCAAGTTAAGGACTGGCTGGCGTTTCAGTGCATCAATTAAATGATTATGGATACATACACAAGACTTTTCAGTAAAAGCTGCTTCCAGTGCCGTGGTTTCTCTTTCAGCAAGGTTGTTCATCACTTTCATAGAAATATCTTACAAACTTTTTGTGTTCTTTGCAAAATTTTTGCCTCCAACGTGTTCTTTCTGTGCCATAGCGTGTTCTTTTTAATGAAAAGTTCTGTAACAGGTAAAGATATGAGACACCAAAAAATGACCAGGACACCCTCAGTTCTTAAAAAGAGCATGCCCACAAGTGGAAAAAGTGGCTTGAATTGCTGCCTGCAGTGCTAAGAAACAGATCAATAAATACAGAGCAATTACTTAATTGAATGACTTGAAGTTACTTTGCTCTTAAATCTTTTAGTTTTCTTACTAGCTATAGCATGAATGTACAAAGGAAAATTCCCAAATACTTTGTTGACAGATTTTGCTAATTACCCAGAGGCGCTAAAGCATACAGCTCCATTATTTGCTCAGAATTTCCTAGATAAAAACAAAGGAGGTTGTGTCTGCGTTTGGACTGGAAAATATCTTGCATTGGTTTCCCTACTGCTCTGCACAGAGTTGCATAAAGTAGGACTGGAATCATTGTACATTTTACTGACAAAAAGTACTTATGAAATTGTGCATATGCATACATGCATATATACTTGCAGAGTGGACCCATGCAAGTACCAAAGAAAGGAAGAAATCTTCTTCAGTATCCTATTCAAAAGAAATTTAAGACAACTCCTTAATTGGTTCATTTAATGAGCAGTTGCTCTGTTAACTGAAATGTTGTTATTCTGCTTACCTTTTTTTTTTGCTATAGAAATATGGGAGTTTTATAGTTTTAATTGTTGTTACCCACTGCTGAAAGAACACGAGGGGAATGAGGGATTCAGGAAGGAAGTAATTTGAACTGGGAGGATTTGCAGCTGGTAGAATTCTTATTGTAGATAAAAGCATTTTCTATAGAACATAATTCCTTTATGTTCTTTTTCAGTGCTTTTCTTTATTGTCACCTAAAAGGCTATAGTCTATTATTTGGTTTGCATTGTAAATTTGTCCTCTGACATACTTGTAAGTACAAAATGCTGGCTTTTTAAAATTTGGGAAACTATTTAGAGCAAGCAGCATGCTCCAGGATACCCTAAATTTCATGAAGAGTTATACTTTAGATGGATGGTATTAAAGCTGTTCTTTTGGACAGCTTTGAGAAGCTGTATTTTGTAGAAAAGTTTCTATACATTTTATTCATTGTATAGAATGTAAGTGCTGGAAGCCAGAACAGTTTGTTTCTTCCTAAAGTACTTTAAAATCTCAGCATTTGCAACAAAAACATCCAGATTTCTGTTCTCTTCTTCAGGGGCAGTCTGCAGTGGTGCTTTCTCTGTTGAGACTCAAGGGAAAGTGAATTAACATTGGTGAATAGAAGTCTGTCATTTTAGTCAAATATTACATGCTGAAAAAAAAACTCATTAGCAATTCTTTTTTAACAGGCTTCTGTCAGCAAACTACCAGCTTTGGCAAAACAAGCAGTGATATTTTGTGGTTTTTCTTTAAGCTAAAGATCCTGGAGTCCAGCAAAATTGAGTGAGCGTTGACCCTTGTAAAGAAAGGGTAATACCATTTTATCACCAAGAGCTACTTCCAGTACTAGCAGATGACAGATATCTCTGCCAGATCTCACCTACCATGCTAAAAGAAATTCTTGGGATCTGATTTTCCAACTTCTCAACTGAATAAGGTTACAGTTGGCTCTGAATGAGACCCCCTCCAAGGAAATTCCATTTTTTATGGGAAATAAAATGCTTGTGACTCAAGTAGCAACTTTAACAGTAAACTGTTTGACCTCTTTCTTGAGGTCAGACAGAGAAGGAAAGGAAAAATAAAATAGCAGGCGGAAAGAAAGATGTCAAATATTAAGTCACTGTTTTCTTCATTTATGTTTGATTTACATGTTGCAAGTTGCAACAGTGTTTCAGGGAATGCCTTAGCTGCCAGTCTATTTGCAAAGCAAATGAGTAGCCTGGAGCACTATTTCAGGCTCTAGTCCAGGTTTCAGTTTTTTGATACACCAGTGTCCATTGTGACTTTATGGAAGTCGCAGTACCTCAGTTTCCTACCTGTAAAATGAAAGACTACTTTGCACGTCTCTTTAAAGGAATAATAACAGAGGTCAGAAGGAATTTACAGTCAGAGCAGTTAAATATAGAATCATAGGATGGTTTTGGTTGGAATGGACGTTTAAGAGTCCAACAGCCTTGCCATGGGGAGGGACATCTTCAGCTAGATCACATTGCTCAGAGTCCTGTCCAACCTGACCTTGAATGTTTCCAGGGATGGAGATTCTGCCACCTCTCTGGGCAACCCAGGCCAGTGTTTCACCATCTGTTGCGTGAAGGGAAAGGGGTAGGTGTTGGTAATGGAGAAACAAATTTGTTAAGAGACAAAACCCCTTGCTTTCTAGCTGGTCCTCAGATATTAGAGGGGCTAGGGGTGGCTGAACTTGTGTCTTCACAGGTTCCAATGAGAGCTGTGACTGTAGGTCTGACCTGTGAGTGTGGGTCTGCCCTCAGATGCAGGAGCAGCCTGGTGCTGTAGGTCTGGCTGCATTCAGCAGAAGCCGTTGGGTGCCCGAGCAGCACGGGTTAGTGGCACCCAACATACAGAGTCTTTATCATTGCCAGTGATAAATACACTAAGCTGAAGACTGGCTATACAGCTCTACAAAGCAATTGCAATTACAATAATAATAATCTCGTGGGGAAAATCACTCAGTGGAGCCAACGCCTGAAGTCTTACCAAAAGGTGTCCCTGCTGGGGAGGGTGAGGAGAACAGACCCGTCAGTCTGTCCCTGTGACTTGGTGCTGAATTCTTGTCCCAAAACTGGGTCCAAAAGGGAATTATATTTATACCTTTTTTTGTTACTGATGTTCAAAGTGTGAGGATGGGGCTGCGGGCAAACAATTATTCATTGTAATTAGCACAAAACTTCCTTATCTGCACTTGCAGGGAGTAAACTGCCATGAACTAGGTGGGAGAATGGGGTAAGCAGCCTCCACTGCATTCCACATCCCTTGTCTGGGCCTCAAGGGCACAGACCACTGAGTCGTCACTCAGCCCCTGTGTCTGCCCTGGCACCAGATGTTTGTTGGCAGTGTCGAGCTTTGTGATTTGTGCTCGTTTTGTGCTTTCTGCGTCTGACACCACCTCACTGTAAAAAATTTTTTCCTTGAATCTAGTCTGAATCTCCCCTCTTTTGGTTTAAAACCATTACCCCTTGTTCTATTGCAACAGGCCCTGATGAAAACTTTGTCCCCATGTTTCTTATAGGGTCTCTTTAGTACTGAAAGGCTGCAATAAGATCTCCCTGGAGCCCTCTTTTCTCCAGGCTGAACAACCCAAACTCTCACAGCCTTTCTTCATCAGAGAGGTGATCCAGCCCTCTGATCATTTTTTGTGGCCCTCCTCTGGAACCGGTTCATGTCCTTCTTTTATGAGGGCTTCAGAGCTGGACAGAGTACTCCAGGTGGGGTCCCATATATTGCAGGGCAGGAAGATGCATAACAATAAACGTCTATGGCTTTAAGAAGAAATGAGAAAATACATTTATTTACATATCATTACTCTTGTTTTGTGGATAATGTGTTCAGATACCTCATCAGTGAGAATGATGTAAATGTCCAACGGGCTGCATTGCTCTTTCCAAACAGAGGAAAAGTCACACCCTTGTCTGGAAAGGACCATCTCTCAGAGGAAGTATAAAACTAAATGCACGTGCTCGGTAGTCTGTAAGGACTGGGTAATACTTTAAAGAAGTATCGTATTGTTCACCTCACCAAATTCTAATGAGTGTGCCCAAAGAAAATGCTGTTAAGGGCTCAGGTTTGTATACTGGTCTTAATTATTTTCATAAAGCAATGTGGCCGATCACTGCTAAACTTTAACACATTTTATATATTACAGAGTGTCTCACCCTCCAACAATTATTTTGCCACTTCACAACTGGGAACCCAAAGATGAACCTACAAAAGAAGAAGAACTTGGTCCATTAGTAGAACACATCTATGAGGTAAAAATGGTATTTGTTGCTGTAAGACCTCATGCTGCTTTTGTTGAAATCCTAATGAGTTTATTTTATCACCTTTGTCACAGAATCACAGAATGTTAGGGGTTGGAAGGGACTTCTGGAGATCAAGTCCAACCCCCCTGCCAGAGCAGGACCATCTAGTCTAGGGCAGGTCACGCAGGAACGCTTCCAGACAGGGCTTAAAAGGCTCCAAGGAAGGAGACTCCACACCCTCCCTGGGGAGCCTGTTCCAGTGCTCTGGAACCCTGACAGTAAAGAAGTTCTTCCTCATGTTGAGGTGGAACTTCCTGTGCTCCAGCTTGTATCCATTGCCCCTCCTCCTATCACAGGGTGCAAGTGAAAAGAGGTTGCCCCTTTCTTCTTGACACCCAGCCCTCATATATTTATACACATTAATTAGATCACCCCCTTTAGTCTCCTCCAGACTAAAAAGCCCCAGGTCTCTCAGCCTCTCCTCAAAAGGCAGGTGTGCCAGTGCCCAAATAATCCTTGTAGCCCTTCACCGGACTCTCTCCA